AGTAACATAAGAATAATGTTTAATTTAAATTCGAAAGAATTGAGTAATACTAATATTTATTAAATTCGATTTGAAATTCTCACCACGAGTCCAACCGAAATGTCCATTATTTTTTATTATTTAAGCTGAAAAGTAATTTTTCAAATATTTAATGAAGTTGAACGTAAGTATATACCTGGTTATTGTGATTTGAAGTGCAGATTTTATTATTTCTAGTATACACTTCCTTTTAATATGTTTTCTATACACATACAGGCTAAGTTAGTAAAATAAGATATCTGAATATCTTTGTTCATCATTAAAAACAGGAGACAGTGCCCATGAAATTTCTTTTGGAGATGTATTTTTGCTTTCAGTTACAGCAAAGAGCTTTAAGAGTCTGTTTTTTATAAATTCACCTTCTATATCACTTTTTACTATACCTACATTTTTCGTTGATAATTCATGATTCATGAATTAATATATCGAACAGATGTTTACAAATCGTTAGTAAATTTACATTTCGTTTACAATGAAAATGACGATAACAGATTCATGATAAACAGTATAAAGAATTGTTAATGAATGCTTCCTACACAATTCACACAATGTAATAATAGCGATTTGTTTTTATTCTGTATTCCATTAATTGGATTCCGCAATAACATTGATATACATTTATATTAATATTTGTAACAGTGTGTTCGAGGGAATTGAGTTTGAATTTCGAATAAACACATGCGTTATTGAATAAAATTACTGGCTCTTTGTCGGAAACGTATATCCGTGTTAAATAAATGTTTCATGTTGATTTTTTCAAACATAATAAACAAAATAAAAAATCTACACTATGGTAGGTTGTAATTTATTTTGGTATTTACGTATTATACGGACCATCTTTGTCTCTTAACTGAAGGTTGCGCTTGTCAGTTATTTGGTTTAGATCTGGTTTAATATTTATTTAATATTATAACACATTATTAATATTTTATTATTATTATCATTATTATTACTATTATTATTAATATTTTGTTTCCTAAAAACAAAGGTAGTTTGTATAATACCTAAGTATCTTTATTTTTTCAAAATATTAGAAGTATCATTATTGCCAGTATTTTGTGTACAATTATTTAATAATTTACAGGTTTCAATATGCATTCCTTATTTCAAAGAAGTTGTATGTTGAATTGGTTCGTTATACATATGTTGCTATCTTAGGTATTTACAATACTATCGTAAAAGAATGTATTTACATTGATATGACGTCGCTCTCTGTGTTTCTGTGTCTAACCAACTAAATATTTGGTCTATCAGTAGGTTAAATATTTGTTTTAGGGATGGATCAATTCGTTTCATGCGTTTATTCTGGATTATAATATTTATTTTTAAAAATAAATGCAAATGATTAAATAGTAATGCCAAAATAAACAAATTGTTATCTAACTTAAAACAGAAGATTAAAGGTTTTATCTTCAAGATATGGATATGTAAACTAAAGAAAAATGTTTATATTTTATGCAAGGCAATCTCGGGAACTCGAAAATTTTGATTTTCTTAAATAGTTTATAGGTAATAATGGAATTTTATGGATATTACTATTATACTGGGTGTAATATCAGCGGAGGTACAACTTGACAGCAATAAAACATATGAAATATCGATAATGAAGAAGAATATCTTTTCTGGTGAAACTTTGTTTCCAAGAATACTAACATTGATAATTCATTAGGTTTGCCTGTGGAACTGTCGTCAACTACTTCTACTTACAATGATAAACTACAGTAAATGTGTTTATCCTAGAGTATCTTTAAAAAAACTCTTAATATGCACGAAATTAATATTTGTTTGATTTGCAAAAGATACATTTCTTTGAAACAAATTTGAGGAAAAGAATAAATTATAACAGAAACGTATTTCATTTTGTAAAGCGTTCCTTTGCATAGGTTTTCCATTTTAATGTGAGTGCAACATTATTCTCATTACAATTTTTTGTCTCCTGTTCCCATATAGAGTAAACGAGATTATACAGAAATGCTTTCTTTACAAATATCAAATCAGTTTTTTCTCAAATGAAACAGGAATAAAATACGTTGTAATTTACAAGGTACCAAACACTTATGTTAACACAATATATTAAGTAATAGAAAAAATAATTAAATAATGATAATAAACAAAGAAAAACTAAAAAAAGACAAATATAAGAAACACACAGAAATTATAATTTGACAGATATAATTAAATAATAAGGTAAACTAACGAAATCTAGAAACACACAATTAAATAATAATGATAAATTAATAAAAACTAGAAACACTTAATTAAATAATACTGATAAACTAACAGTAACTATATTGTTCAATATATTAAGTGATATATTGTGGTGTTCCCGTTTTTATTGCTCTAGGCTGCAATTATCTCAAGCGATCAAATATTTTTACGCGGCACAGTAGATGAATTAAGCTGGATATACGAATACTACTACTGATTGCCTATCGGCTCGAAAGACCAAAGGCAAATGTACGGTCGCGAATCAAATTGCGCGGCTTGTTTTGTCAATCCACCTGGGATTATAGGTCCCAGGTCCCGGCCGTCGCGGTAGGCGTTCTGATTCCGACTATTGCCCGCCAAATTAATATTGGCCAACTGTTTCAGTGTGGTCAAGCTACGAACAAAGGTACTAGCCGCCTACTGCGACGAAAATGTCGATACATGTAAACTTTTAATTAAATCTGATGTCGTTTCGCACGGTAGAGGATATGATAAAAAGAAAAAAGACACTACCCTTTTGTCTGGGAATAAGAGAACGTTCATTCGAGATTAAACGTGACTTTCCGACCGACATTACAATACTACGAAATTAGTTGACAGTTACTAAAAATATGTTAGTTTACGGAACGCGTCAATTTGAAGCATATTTGATTTATAAACATTATTAGGTAAATGTTTACATCGATTTTGATTGATATAGTTACACGGATGTGTATCCTAATTGTTTATTTTTAAACCTGTGATTTTCAAGATTTAAATGAACAAATATCAATTTTCTAGGAACGGTAGAATGAACTATATAATAAGCGTCCGTAAACCTAATAACTATTTCCTCGTTATTTATTTGTTTGGAATGTAAAATTTAATTATCATGAATTTTTATTCAACGCAAGAAAAGTTTTTGTAAAATTACAAATGGTTTTTGAGTATAATTGTGTAAACTTGTCACAGTTGCTTTTTCAAGCAACTTCTGCACTTTATTTTCTTCATCTTTTTACTAAGTTTACCAATTCCTGTTATGTACTATTCACTTTACAGAATATTCAACTTTGCATACTTAGGAGGATGCTGTGGCGACTCGCATTTAATTACCTTGAGGCACGAATTTCTCAAGCTCTCATTTCCTTAATGTCCTTTTCACACCCAACACCTGGAAGATTTAGATTCTGTCATTAATTCGTTAATTACAATTTAAGTATTTAACGGTGATAGTGCAAGTGTCAACTCGCTAACCTGAGAAGTTCTGCTACAAACACGAGAATAATAGTAGGTATTGTTCGTGCACGCTGTACAGGCCGTATTAGTGGACGTGGCGTAAGCCTTTCACACACCGAATTAACCTTGTGTGAAATAGATGTGATGAAAAAAGGCTTCTCCTTTTCTCGTTCGAAAGTGGACTGTATTTGTTTAATATTGAGTGAAAGGAATGTGTATATGTTTAAAAAGTTAAAATGTGTTGTCCAGTGAGTACAGCGTGATTGTTATGAACTTGTGATGTATGTCTGTCTGTCTGTTATGTTTCTCAATGTCTCTCTATATATATAAAAATACTGAGATAGGGCGTTGTCCTTAGTGACAAATCAGAAGGCTAAAACGCTCGGGGTGTTGCTAGTTATAGTTTTTTAACCTACGCCCACATTACTAGTAGTGGAGGTAGGGGGTACGGTGTCCCTTCTGACCTGCAAAGGTACCGGTGGCTGTGCGCTCGGGGTTTAGGTCGTTGAGCTGCCGTTTTTTTATTATATGTATCTTAACCAAATAAACCGTGCCGGAACAGGTATATACCTTCATTAATTTCTTGTGTAAAAGTGAATCTAGAATGTAGGTTGACATATAATGAAATTTAGTTCTGAAGAAAAATGGAATTTGAAAATTAAAAAATTTTAATCTTAAAATCTGTATTTTGTTTTATATAAACAATATTTACAATGGTAAATTATGTTTGCAGATGTCGCAGAATTTCGAGTAACATTTTTATTAAACTGTTCTAAATGTTAATACAAAACAGTGAGTACAATTTCGGCATGGATATTTGAAAATGTGGACAGATCTGTATTACCTAAAGTAAAACCATTATGAATACAGTAATAATAATGTAAAAATAGATCAGAACCAGAAATTCGATCTAAAGTTCAAATTCATTTTCTGAAATCACAATAATAATTTGATGTGTTTAATAATAATAGACGATAATGTACACACTATTTTATAAGTGACATTGCAATGAAATAGAGAATAATGAAGAAACAAGTAAAGAGGATAAAATAATACCGATTCTGAAAAAAGATATTACTTTTTTTATTTAAAGATCAACACTTTTACTTTTTCCATATACAATTAATTAAAATATTGTGGGCAATAACAAAGGAAGGAAACAAATAATTTTGCACTGTCGCAGTTTTTAGAAAATGGTTCATTTATTTTCGCTAGAAAATAATATTCAGTCATCGATCCTTGTATAAATATTCAATTAGACGAGATTCATCATACTTACATGAAACTGGGGTTGAAAATGCATGCAAGCATCAAGGTTCATGCATTTAATGAGAAAACTAATGAGCCGAATAACACCTGCCACTTATAACGTGTCCCCAACCAAGTACTGCTTCTATATAAGTACCTTCTTCAAATACTGTTACACAACCGGAACTTTCACAGATTATTTAAAAGAAATAAAATATTAATTTAGAAAAATGTGTGCATATACTTTTCATTTTGTAAATTATTCATGTATTTCCGTTTTGTAAACATCACATTATAATTAAAGTTAAAACATTTTCTTCAGTTAGGACTTTTCAATTTTTTATTATAATTAAAGTTAAAACATTTTCTTCAACTATGACTTTTCAATTTTTTATTACCACAAAATTGCAATTAACTAAATTTAATAACAAAATTAGATATTTCTGTACTTTCTTAACATTCTAGTCACATAAAATTAAAAACACAAATTTCATATGTTGAAAATGATAAAATTTGATATTCAATATCAAATTTAATACAATATAATTAGACATGAAATATTGAAATTGAGTAGTTCTATCCCTTCATTGGCGTATTATTTCAATCAAATACAGTCCAAAATATAATCAACGTTTCCTTAGAAAATTATGAACATACGTAGTGAAAAATTTATCGAGTGCAAAGGGTTAAATATATTAATTGAATCGATAACGATAGTAGATAAAGTAATACAATCTCACAGTAATGAAACGATAAGATTAATTTTAACAGTTTTAAACACTATCGAAGCTTTCACCTTGTTGCGTAGAAAACGACCTTAAGTGACGTATAACTCGAATTATCTCGATAATCAATCAATAAAGTTACTTCGTAGAAGCGTTGTAAACGAGAAACCATCTCATGGCTTTCTCCACTCTAAGATTCCGACTTCCTTCCCAGGAGTCTTATCAAAATTTCAGGAGAATTCGCTGATTCGCTTGGGAAGCATCGAATGAACCTTCGGGGGCACTCGACTTACAATTTTTCTGCGATACATCCAACCAATGCTATTACTTGTTTCTGACAAATTAAAGAATGTACAGTAGGCAGTGTAAGAATTACCGTCTTCATTGGACAAGATTTAACCCTCTGCACTCGAGAAGCGAATCTCAGTCGTCATTTCATTATCGAAATAAAGCAATATTATAAAATTAGATACTTAACATTGAAATAGAATAATTATGTTCATTAACATATATGATTTTCTTTATATTAGCTTTGGGAAACGTCCTCGATATTTCATTAGAAAGTGATGCATGTTTATAGCAAGAAAATTTGTACAGTGCAAAGGGTTAATTTTCACACCATTGACCATTCATCTTTGACCGTCTGAAAAGAAAAAGAGTACTTTATTGTACTTATTAATTATAAAATAAGTCGTGAGAGCGAAATCATACAATTTTGAAAGAATAGATTCATTTCTTCTGATACTTTTTGATGTCTAGCTATTATATTAATTAATATATAATTACATGACAAAATTTTTGGGTGCATTTTTGGTTTTGTATGTTAATAGTTGTTTTCCTCGTGTATTATAATTTCTGTACTAGGGAAAAATATGCCATATATTACTTTTACCTAATGTTCGATATCAGCTCAAAACTAATGATATAATTATATAACTTCTGTATTATAATAAAAGTGAACTAAATTTATTTCACCTATGTATTGTGATGTTTTAAAAATAATTAAATGTAAACTACGAGAAGATAGTAATAAAGAACATTCGTAAGAATGAAATTTATTTTGTAAGAAGTGTTTAACGAAATTTTTCGATGAATATTTTTTAACATCTACTAAACATTTAGCAATAAATATCGTTATATGGGAATGTTGGGTGGCAGTCAGAGGGTGAAGTAAAGTCGAGGTCACTTCTTGTCGCTGACTCATGGAATAATGAACCCCTCCCATTGGACGACACTCACAGACTCGACACGTTAGTGGAATCCTGACCACGTTTTTCAAGAACCTCTTCCACTGTAACGATTTCCAAGACTAAATTTCTTTTCTATTATATTATCCTACAGAATAAAATTTCAAAATTGAAATTACAAAAGGATTTGGATGAATTTAAAGATTTAACATAGATGTAGGTCTTTGAGTAGAATGTTTAATGCGTGTATTTCAGTTTTATCGAAGGTACAAATTTCTAAATTAAACATTTTTTGTGTACTTAGATTTTATTGTAAATCTTTAGTTTTTAAAATAGACTGACATATTCGCGTAAATAAGTGTATCGATTACTTTAAAAATTGTTTAAGCACGTTTAAATGCCCATAACGTAATAAAAATAAATATCATTGTTCTTGTAAAACCTCTTTTGGAAGAAAATTATAAAAACTTATAAATAAAATTCCACTTTTTAGTTGTAGTATATAAATGAATCATAAGAAATAAAACTACACTGTTTATATAACAAATGAATATAAGATTTCATACAATATCTCATCTTTAATCGATTAAATAGATATTTAAAAACATGCTCTGTATGTCATTGAAAAAATTCACACTAAATTATATCTTAGTTATTTGTTCCTACAATTTTTGTTTCTAAAAATGATCGCACACTTCTTTTATAAAAAATGGTATTTAATAATTTCAACTTATATAATAAATTACTAAGAATAATATTCGTATTGTGTCTTTGATAGGGTGTAAAGAAAATCATTGATCGTCTTGAAAGGGTTTCTAAGTGAGTAGTAAATAGGAGATATAAATACAAACGAATAAAGGATCTAGGAAACGCGATGAAAACGGACGAGAACAGGCGAAAACAAATCAAGAGAGACCACGACGAAGACCGAGTGGTCGGAAGGAATTGGATATTGCTGACAAAAATAGGGAACCAAGGGAAGAAAAAAAGGAAGGATATCAATGGCCATCGAGCCACTTTGCCACGACAAACTCGGGTGAGTGACTACCCTCTCTTCACACGTTGATAAAACTGTCACAGGAATCCGAGTCTATCGATCTCTATCGTCGACATTATCAATGGATATTCAAACTGAACTGCGTGACTTAATCTTGCACCAAGTATACATATAAAGTATAATTTTAAAATAATCGAATGTTAAGAATGTATGCTTAGTTAGTGTTTGGATGGTAAAGGTAAATTGTCTAAAATGAGGTCCCTTGAGGAATTAAAAAATTAAAACTGTGATAGATAATTAATGGGAGTTCCTATATTTTAGAAGAATGAATGTTTCTAGTAAAATATAAACGAAATTTTTCGAAAATAGTTTCTAAGTTAATCTTACTTGATTGGTTTAAATAAATGATTTAATTTTTGTATAGACTGATTGTAAATCACAGCCAAAAAGAAATAATGCTTCAACAAGGTTGCTTACTTTTTAGTATCCTATACCATTCGTTTGTCCTTCTTATAATTTCGTTAATATTCTAATTTTAATGCTATCTGTGTATCAATGCAATAAGCAGGAACAGATCAAAATATCAATTTTGTTGACATTGAAAACAAGAAATTATTCAGAAGGTTTTAAACTCACAATAATATATCACATTTTTGTCGATAAGATAAGTATCGCAACAATTTCTGACAGATCGGACTAATGACAACTGTTGATTATAATAATGGTCTTTCTCCTATTTCTGAGTTCTCAAGAAAAAAGCTGTTGTGAAACTTTCTTAGATTAATAGAATACTAATTAATATTATTAATAATATCAGTTATTATTGATTATTAATATTAGTAATATTACAACATATCAATAACATTAACAATATAACATTATTAACAACATTAATCACTATTAATTATCAATATCATTAATAGCAACATTAGTATTCAATTAATCCAAGAACATTTCACAAAAGCTACATTTTCTTAAGAACTCAGAAACAAGTGTGAAACTACTATTATTCAGAGTGACTTAGTTCTTAATCTTCTTTCATGTTCAGTTTTTGACTGTTTCGAATACTCTCGTTGATCTTTGGGCGACGTAGCGTCGAAGTATTCGTGAAGTCAAGAATCCTTCCCCACAACGGTTTCACTCTAGGAACTAAGGACGTTCCCCCAGACCTCTGCTCTTGCACGTGATGACTGCACAGGACGCATCCCGCAGGTGCACCCACCTTTAACTCCGGTGTTCCTTGGTCCTTAATTCCGGAAGTGGTGCAATGGTAACGATACCTTGCTCCTGTTGCTGGCTGGATGTTTCTTGACACTGTCGTCTCTTCAGTATCCACATGGCTGGTACTATTCGTGACAAGAGATCGATCGAATCTTGCAACTTTAAGATCAAGGGCGGCCACAATGTTAGCGATCTTATTTATTTCAAACTGGATCTTCTCCATATCAGCTTTCCAGGCTTCTGTAATTCTTTCCTCGAACTTGTCAAATTCGAAGTGAAGCATGTCGTCAAACTGTTGAATTAATATATCTTCGCGTGAATCCTTGAATGGCCGCGAGTGACAAGAACAGTCCAAGAATCTTCCATTGACGAATGGATGTCCAGTGGTAAGCAAACAATCAGGATGTGCGTTTGTATTGCAGGAAACACAGAAGATGAGTTTCATTGCACAGGTGCCACAGATTTTGCACACATTCGAATCCATGTTTAACAATGTTTAGCTTCAGCGCCCTATGTATTATCGACGGTGTACACCAATTTTGGTAGGAGAATAATTATTTGTGACACACGGGGTTACCGATAATGATTCACGTTACAAAAACAAAAGTGCAACGAAATGCTAGTAAAATATATAAAAATTAGCAGAACCTTACATAATATATTACTACAAATATTTTACGAATAGTTAATACACTTTGTAAGTAACTTAACCAAATTTCTTCAAGGTGTTGTACAAGTTAATGAAATAGGTATTAATTAAAACGTTAATTAAAACACGTATAGAAGAAAGTAATTTGAAAATAAACTGAAAACTGATTTAAAATGAATGTTATTGGAGAGCGACGCGTAAGTGCGACACGTCTGTCTCTTACGACGATTAAACACATTATCTGGTATTGCTTGAGCATATCGGGACTGATAACTGCTATCAAATCTGCAGCTATCGCAGCATTCATCAGGAAATCAATGGAACGAGCAAACGGTAATTGTACAGGTAGGAAGAGAGAAATTTCCTGGTCGTGGATGCGCGTTCGATGTATGATAACTATTTTGAGCCGATAATTAATGTTATTGGAGGCCGTACGATTATGGAATTCCTGTGGGGAAACTTTGCAATAGATTTATTTAAATGTTCGAACATTTCGAGAAGTATTTGGAAAACACTAAGTTAAGTGAAAACAATTTTGAATAATTCTTGTTTTCCTTATAATTTTTATGTTTGTTTTTGTGAGCTAGGTTTAAATGTTTCCTTCCTATTTTTAATTATATATTATTGTGTATAGAATTGTGTAAACCTTTTATATCGACAGTAACGGTTATGCCTTGCCTCGTAAAATCTACTGACTGACCATAAAATGGCCTACAGATATTATCCTTTAAAAAGAAAAATGTAAAAAGCTTTATAAAGCTTATAAAAAATGTAAAGCTTTAGATGGTTCTATTCTTATTCATTAAATCTTTATGAAACTTATTGCAATTGTTCAGATAGATTTGCTTAAAACAGATTACGTGAAACGAAAGAAACTCAGTTTAGAAGCCTAAAAATGAATGAAATTGCAGAATGTAAAATATAAATTCATTGGAATTTTTATAAACATAATTCTACAAAATATACTTTTCTGTATTCATGTTTAATCATACTTCATTTCAGCAATTGAAGTGGTAAACAGAATTAAGTACTAAGTAGATTCTAGACCTTTATACAAATTTACAACACTAGACGTTGTTATTACTTATTATTTACATTTTATTTTCATTGTCGAGAAGTTTATTGTGTTTCTAACAACAAATATGTTATACCTCGTCAAACTTCATTGAAATTTTTCCTCTTTTATGTATTCAGATCAGGAACAGCTATAAATGTTTAAACGTTCGTAGTTTAGTAATAATGACTTTTTAACTATTCGGGTCGTTGTCCTGCTAAAATATCCATTGACTTCCAATACTTAAACGTTCAACCACGGATTATGAATTATTTCGCAATACATTGAGATATTTAGAGGCACAGTATCTTCGATAAACAATTAATTTTTAATTAACATCTGAACAGTCCAAATTTACCGATAACTAGTGTTATTTGTAAACATCAAATCAAGTATTATCCTTCTTTATTTATCAACATGAAATTATTAGATTTCATTTACTAATAATAAAAGCCTTTCTTTCCACAGAAAAACTAAATGGTGGTTCTAAATTTAAAGAAATTAATAAGGTTTGATATTGCTCTTCGTGAATTCGTTGCGTTTTTATATATTACAGGCTGTTAGGGGCTTAATAATTATTATTATTGCGTATTAAATTTTCACTTATCAATTAACTCATTTAACGAGTTTAACACTAAAATTACCGAGCAGTTAATTCACTTTTTGAAATTCCTCTATAGGAACTTCAAGAGTGCATTTATCGAGACTTTAATTGATTTACAGTTCAGTTTGCGTATTATTAAATCAATTTCTTTAATAATTTCTCAGAGAAATATCTGTTATCTTTTTAACAATTGCGACAGACAGACATCAGGAATAGGTCACTTTGGCCCGTCTGGTAGTCTTAGTGATAAAGAAACATGATGAACCTGTGTCAATTCTTGTAATTGGTCGTAGCTTTCAAAGGATTGCTACATTTCGAAATAAGGGAGATACACGAGTAGGAATCGATTAGTTGAATCAATTACTTACGTGTGCCGTTTAGTAGCTGAATTAGGTGACCACCACAACAGTTAAAGCTTCACAAACCCGCTACCAAGTAAGGTGGAGTCAGTGATATTGGTTGTCCTTTTCTCTCTTACGGTGGATTACGGTAAATGATCATATGTACTTAAAAGTTAGGTCAAACGTAGGAGCTACTCCTTTTCAACTGCAACACAACACGTATAAAGAAGAATAGCAGACATAATTTGGACATAATAAATATTTTCTATGTCTTGTAGTTCTGTTATTAATGTAACTACAATTTTAATGAAAAATTGATGAAGTTTTCCAATTAATGAATTTTTACAATTAATGAAGTTTTCCCTAATTTAGTTTTAAATTCCAGTCTTCATTTTATTTCTTCATCAAGAAGACAAATTTCTCAAATGTATTATATATTCTGTATATACTATACTCCTAGAACCATCAAATCGTGAATATTCAGTGTTACCATTTTCGATAAAGATCGCAATACACAAATCATTGAATAGCATTTTAAAATGAAATTTGTTTAACTTTTCTCAATGATTTTATACTGTTGCTGGTTCAACATCAGAATTTTATAACAATAGTTTTATTAGCATTTTGACATACACTACAACAAAAGAGGCAAACCATACAATCTTTCTCATTAATAAATTAATTTCATTGTAAAAGTAAAATCATTTAGTAGCGTTTCGCCATACCCTTTATTCGGGATTCATATGCCGTAGGAATCGCGAAACGCGATCGCGTCTACAATGTAGACGAGACTTAGATCATTAGAGTTCCATAACTACTCGAAATTAAAGTTCCGTTCTTGGCTTCTCGAGCACACGCTTCGTTACTCTCAATACGATAGCATCCATCCAGGATTTCTCTTCTTCCTTTTCGCTCACTCTTTCCCTCAAATGAGATTCAGTTGGAAATTGCGTCATCCGTTCCTACAAAATCCACCTGGATCAGTTCGTCCGTCAAGGAGAGATCTCTCTCCAAAGTTCCAATTACGGGAACATCGCGGAAGAGTTGTGATGGGCATGCGCCCCTAGCAATGAAATCGGAAATCTTCAATGATCATTAGTAAAATAAAAATAGGGGGGTGTCATAGATAGATATTTGTGTGCGAAAATTAAAGGTAGGCATACGTAAGTATATACTTATTAATACTAGATGTACTGAGCACTTAATCGGTTAACTGCGTTCAACGAGTATACACGTTTTAACTTGACCTATGGTTTATTTCTTAACTATGACCGGTACAACCACTTTAACAATTTATTAAGAACACAACTCTTAATGCTTGTTCTCTGTCTACGTTTACTCCAAAGGTTAATTATTAATAATAGAAAAGTAATATTTAATTTATATTTCAAAAGAATTAATAACATTTAGACGTCTCAAATTCGTTTGAAAATTTTCGTCACGAGTCTGACACGATATTGTACATCAAGGTGTTCGAATGCAAAATGGTATTAATTTTTTCAACGTCAAATTATTTATTTTTTCAGACAAATGTGTGTCTTCTTCGTTTCGCATGAGTTTTTCGTTAGAATATATTATAGATGTGTTTGCTCTGCGCTTGCAAACTAAATTCCACAGTTAACAGGTTCAACTGACTTTTGAAAATTTCTTTATAAAATCTATAATTGTGGATTTATTAAGATTTCAGTTAACCTATATTTCAGGTTAGGTATTATTAAATCAGCTTCTTTAATAATTTCTTAAAGGTACATCCGTACTTTTTTAGTAATTGTAAAAGAAGAAATCAAGAAACGGGTCATTTTGCCTCGTCTGGTAGTTTTAGTATTAACACGTTAACTGCAAAGAGAATTTCGAGCGTTTTGTATAGTAATACTTATTCATTTATAACGAATGATATTAGAAATAATTACACAATTATTTCTAGTGTATACAATTTTTCGAGACATGAGTTTAATCATTAAATTTTATTAAAAGTAACTTACTGAGAATTTATTTTCTTTTTAGAGTAGCCATCACCTTTTTCGAAATTATTAACGCAACACATAATTATATTATACTCTTATTTTCTAGTAGCAATTACAAAAATTATAATAATGGAGGAAAATGTATCCAATGTATTGTGTTTACGAAAGATGTTATGGTTCCAGTGTGTCATTTGTGTATCCAACGTGTAAAAAAGGAGAAAAAAGAATTAACATAATATATTTAAAAAACATTAAAGCTCGTTGCTTCTGTAATACAGTGCAATTATAAAACTTGTTACTGCCGAGAACAGTCGAACTGATTGTAACTCATTGCTTCGTACAAATACATGATGCCAATTATACCCTTTCTGTTTCGTACGACTGAAATCCCGGTGATTTCTAAAGTTGCAGCAAGTACTCAGAGAAATACGCTCGTTTTTTCAAAGCTAACTTGTTCGAAGATTAAATTCTCATTCTCAATTTCCTACTACCAATTTTTCTCCTCGGTAGAGACGTTGTTTTTTCTCTTTCTATTCCGCTTCAGTGAGCGTTACTTCGGGAAAAAAGGGTACGATGATAACCTTGATAATAGAGATGACAGTTCGAGAACATTTTGCAAGCAAATTGGTTCACATAATTCATTTATATAAGAAACGCTGAAGAAAAATATGTCTTTCATTCTTTGAAATTTTAGTTTTATGAGAGTACCAAATTAATAGTACATATTCTATCCAAAACTTTAGGTTTCAGTTAAAATCAATTGGATAAGATCAATCATTTGTGTAATTGAACTATTTATAAATTTCTATTCGAATTAATTAGTAAGTTACGTTCAACGTTTATTTCGTTACATTCCTTCATGTTCAAAGCTAGTTGAAATGTTGCGAAATTGAAGTAAAGTTTCTCATTTACTGGTATAATTATTTTTCATTTAATTCTCTCGAAAGGCGTTGATTCAAAATCGGTCAAAATTACCTGAGACCGATTTTCCTGAATCTTTGCATATTAGTATCCCTTTGGGTCTAACATTCATTCAAAGTACGTATTTTGCCAAATTTATTATGTGTTGGAGGTTTTAATATATATACATAGTAAGATAAGTATAAAATCACTTTTGGCTCACAAATTCGCATTTGAGTATATAAGTTAATTCCAGACATCGCAAGCTAATGCGACACCACTCAATTATATGTTTGGGTGGCTTATTTAAGGTGAGCTACTCTGTATATAATTTTAACTTGATGTTCCAGTAAGGAAAAAT